TAGAAATGATCTGGACAACTAAAAAATATATAGAGAGAAGAAATTAGCTGGGCATGGTGGCACATGCCTGTAGTGCGAGCTACTCGGGAGGCTGAGGCAGGAGGATCGCTTGAGCCCAGGAGTTCGAGGTTGCTGTGAGCTAGGCTGACGCCACGGCACTCTAGCCCGGACAACAGAGTGAGACTCTGTCTCAAAAAAAAACAAAAAAAGTGAGCTTATTATTCCATCCTAAAAAAAAAAAGGATGAAGAAAAATATGTCCAAAGACCACCAAAGCTCTCCTAAAATAACTTCTGAATGATTGGTAGAACAAAACTGTTTATTTTTTTCAAATCAGTTCAAACTCTAAAAACACAGGCAGTGAAAGTGTACAGACAAGGTTTGTAGATCATCCTCAGAAATGTATCCTGGGTTCTAAAAGCACTGTTAAGTCTCACTCCCCAAAGTAAACTGAGAGTCTTCCCTGTTCAATTCTTTTGCTGTTTGCTTTCTCTCAAACCCTCATCTCAAATTTGCAACTCTGGAGATAGTATCACTTGATGATAATTCCATTACAGGAATTCCTACAGTGTGGATCACAGAGTTCTATTTCTTCTCATATTGGAAGATGAGGCAACTGCTCTGGGATAACAGATTGAACTCTAAGATATGGGCTAAAGACCATCTCACCACACTGGCAAGCATGTTGTGTTCATATCTCCCAGCTATAAGATACAGAGACCAACTATTGGATGCACAGTATAAAACTGGGGTCAGCAAACTAGAGCCTGTGGGCCAAATCTGGCCTGCCACCTGTTTTTGTAATTGAAGTTTTATTGGAACACAGCCACACTCACTATTTAAATTTTATCTATAGCTGCTTTTACAAATACAACACAGAGTTGAATAGTTGGAACAGTGATATTATAGCCTACAAAGCCTAAAATATTTACTACTTATACCCGTACTGAAAAAAGTTCATTGACGCCTGGTGTAGAACAATGCTTCTGGTAGAGTAGTGGCTAGTTTGTGATAGTGTCTGCAGATGCTCTAGTTAAAATTGGGACTTATGGCTAAACAGATACGTACCAACGTGGAGTACTGGAATAAATTCACGTGAATGGTGACACCACTACCCTTCTCATTTTCGAAAACAACTTCTGAGATTATTGTCATATGTCTGAGTTGTACAGTACAGGAGCTTCCTTCACAGTCTGCACATTCTGCTTATATCACACTAAACATCAAACACATTATGTGTGTTCTTTTCACTCCATTGCACAAGTTCTTTTCTGTCAGTGGGCGTTGATTAGTCAGGTGTGGTCCTTCATAATATTTTCTTCTGTGCTCTTTTTTTAAAATGTGGAAAGTAAGCCTTCTAGGAAATCCTTCATTTGGAGAATATTTTAATTAATGGATCTCAGGAGCATAAAATTGAATTAATCATAATCCTTGGCTCACAACTTGTTTTCATCATTATTCATGCATGGTATACTTTTATTTATAAAATCTAAAACTTTGTCAATAAACTACATCTAACAATCTGGTTTCCCCACCAGCCCACCCCCTGTCTCCTCCAGTCTGAAATAATCATCCACCTGAACCCTGAGTTCATGATGAATCTTTTCTTTATCATTCCCTTTCTTTCATTTTTATATAGTTTTGCATTTGCATTTATGCACATTCATTATTTTAATGTGCATTCCCCCGATTATTAAAGAGCTTGAACATTTTTTTCATTGGCTATATGCATTTCTTCTCCTGTGATACGCCTGCTCGTATCTCTTGCCTATTTTTCTATAGGATTATTTGTCCTCTTCTTATTGATAGGTAGAGATTCTTTGCATATTATTGGTTCTAACCTGTTAGTTGTGTACATTGTAGATATTTTCTTCCACTTATTTGTCATTTCATTCTTTATGCTGGCTTTCAATGAACAAAAATTCTTGCTTTTGTAGCAGCCTCTAGGGCCTGAAGAAAAAAATCTTGCTTTTAATATAGTCAAGTTTTTCATTTTTTTCTTTTATAGCCAATGCTTATTTGTGACTAGTTGAAGAAATCTTACCCTGCCCAAAGATGTTAAAAAACAAAATCCTAAATTTTTAAAAAGATGTTTTAAAATTTCATTTTTGATATGTAAATCTCTAATTTTGTTAGAGTAGCTTGTTAGTAGTATTGCTTAGATATTTTCAATATTTCTCACCTTTTATATATTTAACTTATGAGTAATCAAAAGGGTGTACTGAAATTTCAGTGTAATGGTGAACTTACCCATCTCTCTCTCTCGTATTATCAATTTGGACTCATGTATTTTGAGGCTTGAAATTCCTACATCTTCTCAGTGCATTGAATCTTTGATGATCTATTTTATTCTGAATAACTATTTTTTACCTTAAAGTCTATTTTATCAGATATAACTAACTATACCAACTTTGCTAACATTTGCCCCTATGCATCTTTTTTTCATATTTTACTTTTGAACTTTACATGTCTTTTTCTTTTTTTTTTTAAAGAGACTCTCACTCTGTCACCCAGGCTGGAGTTCAGTGGCCTGATCATAGCTCACTGAAATCTTGAAATCCTGGGCTCAAGTGATGCTCCTGCCTCAGCCTCCTGAGTAGCTGGGACTACAGGCACGTGCCACTATGCCCAGCTAATTATTTTATTTTATTTTTTGTAGAGACAGGGTCTCACTGTGTGTGTTTTTCACCATTTCTCTTCTTTAGCATTCTGTAAGCTCTTTCATGCTGAAGTTGTTCAAAAACTTTTAATTCTGAGAGGTTAGCACTTTCCCTATATCCTCCTTATTTCTTGGCTCCTCTTTATTCTTTTCCTACTTTTTTCATCCTTGACTTCTTCCCTCTGGAGGATTTCCTCAATCCGGTCTCCTTCAATCCTTCATTCCTCAGGCTTTATCCATCCTGCTACTTATCCCATCTGCTGTGTTTATTATGCAGTTATTTTTCGTACATAATATTCCTCGTTTGTTCTTTTGTGTTTTAGGGTTCTTGTATTGTTCATAATTGTTCTTTATATTTTTGTTATTTTTTTACTTAAATTTTAATTTTTGTCGTATCTCTTTTCTGCAACCTAATCTGTTATGTTTCTTTTCAAATGGCTGTGCTCTCAAATGTCTTGTTATTTGAGCTTGGGAGCTCATTTTACCCTAGAGATATTGGCTAATCTGTCAGGAAATGCTAGGAAGGAAGATCAGACTTCATTTTCTGTCATTCACAATTAAATCAGGACTGGGAAATAATATACCCTTGGATGTACAATCTCAGGCACATAAAAAAACACACAATAAGTCACCCCCTCTCTCAAAATAGCTCTTCAGGTCAAGTTTGTATTGTTTGTTCCCCAGGTAGAAATAGGAATAGGAGAAGATATATTTTTTAGATTATAATTCCCCAAACCTGAGAACAGAGCCAGCTTCATGGGTATATGTGACCTGTGCAGTCACCAGGGCCTCATGCTCATGGAGACCATCATGCTTCGTTTAATGGTGTGTTGACTGTGCCTGTCAGAATTCTTTTTTCTTTTTCTTTT